ACATAAATAATAAACAATAACTTATATAAATAAACTTAATAGAATCAATAGGAACAAATTTATATTAGCATAAGACAGTATATAAGCATATTAACAGCAAAATAAATTCACATAAGCTAACATAATAATACAATATATACAATATTTAAAACTATTGAGAAACATACGTAAGAAATACCTGAGATGCAGAAGAGCAACGGACGGAATAGATCCAGGAACTGAGCAAAAGAAAGAAAAGCTGAAACAAAAGCAGAGGAAAAGCTAAAAACGATAAAGAAGAAGAGGAAACTAATATATATAACAAATAACCAATATCTGAAGAAGCTCTAATACATAATCCTGCAAGAAAACCTGAATCAACATAATAATTAGTTAACAACAGGTGTTACGCAGCATGAAAATCACCGTAAAACGGAGCCAATAACTAACGGACAATAAAACATTATGCATCCGTTATACAAATTTACAGCACATGAAAAAATAAATTTTTGATCAGAGCTCGATAAACATCCCTGTAAACAAAGAATAATTGATGTAATTATCACAATAACAGGTGTTGTATAGCATGAAAAGCACGGAAAAACACAACCACTGTGGGTAACAGATTTGTTAGATATTCCGGACGATAAAGGAAGAAAAAAATCATTAGCTCATTTAACGCTACGGGAACAAAAGGAATACAGATCATCAATGTAAAAGTACAAACTAAGATCCTGAGCATTACACATCATCACCGCAAATTAGCAAAGTAAATTAATTTAGCCACAACGGAGGCACGAAATCAACAAAGAAAATGAAAATTTTGGTACTCACCTATAGGAATCAACCATGCCAAAGATCAAATGCATGCATATAAATCTCCTTGTACAAAGCCGAATGAGCTGCTGAAAAAAGAAAAGCAAACGAAGAAAATTCTAGAATGATCCGTGAGAGGAAAAAAATTCAAAAGTATAAAATAATAATAGGCTTAAAACACGTAAAAACTCTAATAAATCAACCACAATAAAGAGCAAATAACCAACAACAACAAAAGGGTCACTTTTCAAAAAAAAAAAGGTACAAAAAACGAAAAACGGAAAACAAAGTGCATGAAACCCAAAACATCCATTCTGGCAAAAATAGAGGGAAAAACGCATAAGAAATCCCAAATGAGAACAACCGAAAAAGCAAAGAAATAACGGTAATTAAAAAAAAAGGCACCCATGAAGGGAGAAAAATAAATGGAGAAAAAAATGAAATAAAATAGAAAGGAAAAAAGGGGAAAAACACATGAAATTGACGGTGGAAATCCCT